TCATCATCATCATCATCATCATCATCATCATCATCATCATCATCATCATCATCATCATCATCATCATCATCATCATCATCATCATCATCATCATCTTCGTTGCTGTTTAGTACAAGAGGGGAAATCATAGTATAATATTGTGGATAAGTGGCAGAACAAAATGATTGTCAATAACAGAGAACAAAAAGAGTTTGGAAGGAGGAGGGAGTGAGGAGGAGGGTTAAAGGAATAAGAACAAAGGAAGAGGATTATAGAGTGATTGCTAAGGTCCCCCCCCCCCCCAATCAACTCAATATAGATCATTCAGGAGGCGGGCTGCTTCAAGTGTGCTTTTCTTAGCCGTACAGCATTCCATTCAACAGACATTTTATGATTTGCTCTATAAAATAAACCTGCCCAGTCGGGAATCGAACTCAAGTCTTTAGAGCGCGTCCAGACGCAAGAAAAGTAATCATTTCGCCATGGGCGTCTTTATAACAATGGTAGATCTAAGCGTAGAGTATATTTTCTGCAATATCATATTTGTGATTAGAGAAAAAACTGCCAGGGAAGCATACATTTAAGAACTGTCCAATTGCAAAATAACAATGGATTACTTAAGACATAGCAACTTCAATTGATTATTGTGACGTTCATTTCCATGTGTTCATTGAACTTTGAGCTTGAGCACACCACCCCCCCCCCCCCTTGTATTATGTGTATGACATCTAGATCTACTATTAATACATTTTTCAATTATAAGATGCGATTTTTAAAAAAAGATAAGGCAAGGCAAGGCAAGGCAAGGCAAGGCAAGGCAAGAAAAGATAAAATAAGAAAAGAGAAGAGAAGATACAATAAGATATTATATTAATTGTTCTTTGCTGGTTATTATCATACCATACACAATGCGCTGGGACTTGAGGAAAGGGAATGGGACAGCAGAACATTTTTTTTTAAAGTGAGAGATCGATGTTGGAGGGCTACACCTTGCAGTGCAGTAGACAAACAATGCCTAGAAAGAAAGAAAGAAAGACAGAAAGAACGAAAGACAAAAGGAAAGAAAAAAAGACAGAAAGAAAGAAAGACAGAAAGAAAGAAAGACAGAAAAAGAAAGACAGAAAGAAAGAAAGAAAGAAAGAAAGAAAGAAAGAAAGAAAGAAAGAAAGAAAGAAAGAAAGGAGGCTTGTTTTCTGCTTCTTAGACTCACGGGAAGACACGCTGCATCTTCGGCATAATGGCCACCCGGATAATGTAGCCGTGACCTTTAAGGATACAGTCAGCACACAGGCATGTGGTTTCTCTGTACACCGAGTTGATCAGGCTGTCCAAAGCGTTGGCTGGAGAAGAGAGAAAAAAGGAACAGTCAATTTAATTTAGGCTGGATTTTTTGCG